ATAGGTCATTTCCATTGGGAAACGCTGGAGCCCGTCAACAGAAGCTTGGATTCTCAGAGTGGAGAGAGGATACACAGAGAGCAGTTGGAGTCGATTGGGTAAATCAGGAATGAGCGTCCGTGGGATGGTAAGAGTAACCATCTTATTGGGTTTGTATTTGAGGACGACGTCATCGTACTGGCATTTCGGCAACGTACTTGGACGCGAAGGTGTTGAGGGAGGTGGAGACGGAGGCGGTTGTGGACGCGGAGCGGGAGGCGGAGGCGGTTGAGGACACCCATGCAGACACACAGAGAGGCCCAGTATTGAGAAGATGACGAACGCAGCCCATTTGGGTGGCAAGCCAAGTCCAACCATACTTATATATCATTTCATCAATAGTTTATGCCTTAATGTTCATCCTCCCTCGCTTAGTCATTTATATATACAACAGCTCTTATGCAATTGGTCTATTTTTCCCACATGGTGAAAATCAGCAGAACGTTGTACTTCAATTACGTCATTTTGCAAATCAAATCACAGAAGAACGTACAACGACTATGGCAATACCCAATCACGCGGTTCAGTCGGGAAAGTAAAACTCAAACTAGGCTTGAAGACGCTACAAGACCACAGTCGATATTTTCTGCGCTCTTCCTCGAACAGTTTTACCTCGATATCCCCCAACGGTTACCATGTATCACACTGTGGCTGAAACCGTACGTTTAGATTTTTTTCTGAAGCTCTGGAAATATTTTTCTCGTGTGAATGATCGCTCGAAGTTGGGATTTAAGATGATTTTGATTTTCAGCAAATCCTACCGAAAGCAAACCTCTGCAAGCGGACCATAATATCGGCCTGGTAAAAAATAATCAGAAGTTAAAGATTCAGATCTTCTCGAAACCTTCAAAGAGTGAGTCGGTTCCCTAATAATTAATACATTTTATTGAAAAAACTTTAACTGTTTTTAACAAATAGCTTCAGTACTCGTAAAGTTTACCCTGATTATCTGCCATAGGTCACATTCGCAAAATCTTATAGACTGATTTTTTCTAAACCGAATGATGAATACAGGTTTTTAAACAATTTTAAAGTGCTTTTAACAACCAGCTGCAGTATTTGTTAAGTTCACTCAGATTATCTAGTCGCAAAATACTTAAAACAGATTTTTTGTAAACTTTCTCACATCCGAGCAATATTACCATTTTAATATGCGAGTAAAAGTCGCAGCTCATCGTAGGATAGCAGCCCCTAGACCCAAATGGTGCCTAACTACACCTTGTAGTCACAGAATTGATATTAATATGCAGCCCATAGTCAAGACTAAACAACTTGATTTATCTGACTTATAGAACTGTAATGATTTCAAAATGAAGTTTTAATCTGTGCTGTCGATACCTGGGAACATATTTGATGTAATATATCTGATGTTCCCGCTCAAGTTTTTAAAAAAACCTGAATTCCTCGTCCATTTAATTACCACAGAAGCTTTTAATAGACAGAAGCGAGAACACAACTTTCTTTTACAAAAAACCCCCATGCACAGTCGCCCCGTTGATTTTGCAACAGACTGCCTATATTCGGGTGTGCTCAACTACAAAATTGCGAAAGAAATACGTCTCCGATCGCGTAGTAAGAATCAGCCAATCTTACTTAAATTGTTTCCACCAATCGAGGTGGACTCAATCTTCGCTCAACTAGATCGCAGTTCTCGCTGTTTGGAAATGACTAACTGTTTTCTCTGTCGAGATCCTACACCAATAGAACGAAGGAATACGACACTTATGTCCAATAGGCCCATGACATATCAGCCTACTATTCATAAGTCTGGTCATAATCCCACTTTCGTCAATGCGTCCGTTAATCCTTCCCCCGAACGTCTGGCCCTAAAAGCCCCTCTAATTCACGACCTACTCCACGACCTCGTAACGAGCAACACTCAGCGGTTGTGGCCTACCTTGACCTGAGCGAATCCTTCGACAAGGTACCGCACGGACGTCTTCTGGTAAAACTGGAAGCCATCGGCATCCGTCCCCCTCTCCTTGACTTCATTGGTTCCTACTTGTCTAACCGCAGCCAGAAGGTCTTAATATGTAACAGCTACTCCCCGGCTTAGCTGATCACGAGTGGTGTTTTTCAAGGCACTGTCTTGGGTTCTCCACTTGTCTTTCTACAC